GGTGTCCTCGCTCGTTCAGAGCCTCTCCATCTGTCGATTAAGGTCGGCTGTCTGTATCGGTGTCCTCGCTCGTTCAGAGCCTCTCCATCTGTCGATTAAGGTCGGCTGTCTGTATCGGTGTCCTCGCTCGTTCAGAGCCTCTCCATCTGCAGTCCCCATTAGTATTATCGTTTTGGCTTTTTGGGTCCGAAGCCAGCTCTCAGCACGCTTGGGGGCCCCAGAGGGGCAGTGCTTAGCTGTCAGGGCTGATCTCTATGCGTCTGGTGAAACCCAACCCGCACACCCCCACCGTGTCCGGTCAGTCGGGGCTGGTTTGTGGGGGTGAGCGCATCGCTCCATGTCTCCATAGCGAACGACAGGAAGAAGCCGACCAGTGCACAGTGACTCTGTGGGGGATGTCTCTGTGGTGGTGTTTTTGGGCACGGTAAGATGACTCCCATTGGGGGTTTATGAGGGTTCTTTGTGGTTTAGCCAACCCCCCCGAGGTGTTTTCGGGCTCCCGTCATCGACGGTCCATTTATCTGGGCGACGGGCAGGCAGACGCATCACCGGGCCTAACACGGTCTGCCTGTATGGTTCGACCTGCCCTCACGTGACGGCGAATGTGCTGGCGGCGTGTCTTTGAACCCGATCCAAACGTAAGTGTTTGACACGCTTGGACCCACCATGCCTGGGTTACCCTGCCTGTGTGAGATGGAGCCTTTGATGCTCCTCTGTCATGTTGACCTGTGCAGTATCACTCCAGATGTCTACACTTGCAGTGCTCAGTTTTAACTAATCCGATGTTTCTGATGTGTTAAGTATTATTTTTGCTAACTCAGTATCCCTGAGGAGCTCTTTAGTAATCTGTTCTGCTCTCATACTCTGCTTGTTGGGTCTGCACCCCTTGAATGATACTCCTGACTAATATGGGTGTGGGATGTAGCCTCCATTTAATCCTAACACCTTCCCAGATCCTTTAGATCATGGTGACCGCAGAGGTCTGTGAATAGGTGCTGTGTTTTCGGGAGCTGCACAATTTCTGACTCAGGTTGAGTCTTTTCTCAGCCTCATAACCTGGATATATTTATGTGGCGGACGGCCTTCCTGAAAATCCAAGTTAAACCGGAGCTATGATCTTATTTCACTTCTGCAGGGTCACAGAGCTCCTGTATAAGATTACGCTTCTATTCCTGGCCAATGTGACTGGTGTCCTGTTATGTGTCCCTGCTTCCATTTCATGCATGTTGTTCTCTATGGTGTCTCTTTCTCTTTTAAAAGGGATTATTCAGTTTTGGATTGATCTGGTTAGCCTGGGTGTCTGGTTAAAATGGCTCTTTTTATCTCACACATCTTATCATTGGTTGGAGTGATTTATAAAGACTGTATACTGACAGAAACACCCTGAATCTGAAGATTATACCAATTCAGTCCATATGTGATCAAGCTGATGCAAAGTGACTGTATATTATAGCTCTGAGAAAATGGGTGTTCTAATCCATGGAGTAGCATTGCATATTAGGAGAAGGCCAGGTTAATCGGACTGCATTGGCAGTAGAGTTGTCTGATTGTGAATGTTTGTTGTCGTGAGTCTTGGAGGGTGGGTGTTGTCTCTGTCTCACCTGCTGAATCTTCCTCTCAGTTTATGATTATCCTTGGTATCTGGCCTTCTTCATGGGCTTTTGTTCACCGCAGCCGTCCTATGATGCCCATCGACTGAACAACAAACAAATTTATTTTTGTGTAGAAATAAATGTACATTGTCTCAAAGCGCTTTACAGCATCCCCACCCTAAGCCTCCAGTGAGTAAGCCATAGGCGACAGTGGCAAGGAAAAACTCCCTAGAAGGAAGAAACCTTGGGAGGGACCAGCCTCAAAGGGGGAGCCCATCCTCCAGGGGCCGGCAGGGAGAGTCAAATACAGTGAAATTTGAGACACAAACGGGGAGCAGGGGGGAGATGACAAGCCGGTGCCGACGCTTCTTCCAATCGCCAACCAGAACGGCGAGCTGGATGCAAGGACGTCATGGGTAGTGGTGACGTCACATGTCGCAGGGCGTGCTGGACATCTTGATAGATTGAGGTCTCCAGGCAGCACCCTCCAGGAGGAGTAGGGGAAATAAAATGTGCAATTAGTCAAAGTAGGGGAGACTATAGGCCAGGGGTGTCAAACTGCAGTCCTGGGGGGCCGGAGCCCTGTTTAGCTTAGTTCTTTCCCTGTTCCACCACAAATGATTCAGCTCAACTGCTATGTGGTAATTTGCACAAGAAGTTGAATCAGGTGTGTTAAATGAGGGCAAACCCAAAAATGTGCAGGGCTCCAGCCCCCCAGGACTGGAGTCTGATACCTGTGCTATAGGCAGTGCTAACAGTTAGGTGAGTGCAATATGAAGTGGAATGTGTAAGCTCCGGCAGATATGGCTATGGCAGCATAAGTAGGAGGGAGAGGCAAATGGGAATGCAGGCATGGGGAGTCCCAGAAATGTCAGCACTCCAATTCCACAAGCGATCGTGTAGCTAGAGTGGCAGCACTGTCAGTCCAGTTTATCCAAAGCCAATGGCACCGATCCCCACCCAGCTCTACACCTCACACTATTGGTGTAACTGGGAGTGAGCTGTTAGCTAGAGCTAGAACTAGTGTCCCAATAAGCTAAACTAAACAGGTGTGTTTTTAGTGTAGACTTGAATATTGAGAGTGAGCCTGAAACCCGCACATCCGGTGGAAGACCATTCCACAGCTGAGGAGCTGAACATGATTTCCGGAGGTGTTCAGTCAAACCAGCTTATTCAGCACTGAATTTAGCTATGCTTTGGCATTTACTAGAAAGGTGGTCGGGATGGACCTGCAGTTTGGTCGAGCAGGACCCCTCTTGCCAGGTGACCCCTAGCTCCCCCAGCCAGCCGGTTGTACGTTTACCTTCTGTCCCCATCAAGGTGACCAGTGGCCCAGCAAGGCCTAACCTCTGCTACCTGTTCCGCTGGTCCTTTGCTCACCCATTCTGCATGTCCCCTCAGTCTGCTCCCTCGTTATCTGACATGGTGTTCCTTCTCAGCTTGGCTGCTCTGTAACTCACCTTGGACACCAGTAAATGAGATGCTTGTCTGCTGCTGGCATTGTAGCAGCCACCGGTCACGTTGGACTGGGCAGGCGCTGTCCAGGCATAGCAGGCCGGGCAGACGCCATGGTCCGGCTCCAGCCCCCGCCAGCCTTCATCTCAAACCCTGCACTGTTTTCCACCTCTGTGTCATTCTTCCAGTGAAATGCACCATGACAGCGCAGTAATATGGTCTGAAAGACAGTGTCCCTCGTTTGTACCGGCAGATCAGTTTCCTTACGGCACCTGAAGTGGGAATCTTTGGGTTTGAGTCCTTGACTCTATTAGACAGTGACAGTCACTTGTCTGGCACCAAATGTACAATGTGGCTGAAATGAGAAATCAGTGTAAAAAGTGGGGCTTTTACTTAGCTGATGAATAGCTGCTTTAGGAAGCAGGCTCCCCCAGGGACATGCTGTTGTACCCTTGGTTATGTCCAGTCGGGTGTATCTTGTGTAAACACTCTATCTGCTGTTTAGCCACAGATTGGTTTAGCAGAGGGATGTTGATTTGATGTTTGAATGTGGAGGGTCTCTGCAGAGGGTGTGACATGGCTGGCACTAACCCCCCCACGCCACCCCCCACAGGCTGTATGGTGTGCCTTGGCCAATCATCCTTCTTTCGCTTCAACCACCCTGAAGAGGCTGACAGGATGAAGAGCATGATTCCAGATCGGGACCAAGGGGTCAGAGCCCAGGCAGGTGAGGCGATGCCCCTGCAGAGAAGCCAAGGGAGAGCTGTTAGGACAGGAAGGACCCCTACAGGTGGGGTATTTCAGCAGACAGGACCTGTATGGGTGGCAGTTCGTACCTGCTGACCCCGCACACACAGAAATGTTAGTATTTGCATGTTGAATTTCCAGCCTAATTGCGCCCCCTCCTGGCAGGTGCAGAGGATATTGTGACTGGGAGCAGTCTGTTCCTGCCAGGAGCCTCCTGTGAGGGAGCTCCCCATCGCAGCGACTGTTTGCATAGGGACCTGCAGGAGATCATGGACTCCCTATCGCCCCCTGCAGGCCCTGCCGCGCTCTCTCTGAGCAGTGCGGCTCGGTATTCAAGGTCCCCCCCCAGGAGCCCGCCAGTGAGCTACAGCAATAATAGCAGTTCAGCTCCTTCGCCCCTACCTCTCTCCTCCCCGTCGTCAGTGGATGGCTCCAGCTACAGCCCCCCCTGCTTGCCCCTGGTGCCGGCCCGCTCTTCCAGCTACCATTATACCTCCCAGGGCCCCCCAAGCACACCCCCCCACAATCAGTCGTATTTCCTCTCCTTCCTGGGTGATGGGGGCCCCAGAGACCCGCCCAAACTGATTGGCACAGGGGCACTGACCCCCCCCCATGGCTTTCAGGAGCGCCCCCCCAGCCCCTCACGATCGCCCTGCTCCCCCCGGGGCCCCCATCCTTCACTCGAGTCCACAGTGCCCACTGCCCAGGGACAGCCCAGTGGTGGAGGCGTTTGGGGGCTGCGCCCCCCCAGCCCATCCCTAAACAGGCAGCTGCCGCAGAGCCCCGGGCAGCATCGCAGACCAGCCGGGTGCCGAGCGCGCAGCCCGTCCGCAACACCACCGGGCTTTTTCTGCGGCCCCTCCCCCCTCGTCGGCCCCTATGGGCAGCAGGAGCCAAGGCTCCCCCTGCTGGGTGGGTGGGAAAGCATAGGTAGCATCGCTGAGGTCAGCGACAGCGAGAGCGATCTGCTGGCGTACCATCAGCGGCAACGTGATGAGCGACTCCAAGAGCAGGAGGCGGAGAGGCTGGTGAGTGGGGGGGTGCGGAGTGGGGAAGCATGAAGAGGCGGGAGGTGCGGGGGTGTGGAGTGGGGAAGCATGAAGAGGCGGGAGGTGCGGGGGTGTGGAGTGGGGAAGCATGAAGAGGCGGGAGGTGCGGGGGTGTGGAGTGGGAGAACGAACTCATTCCTTTGTTTACTCTGTGTTCCAATGAGGTGAACACACTGAATCATGTTCTTGGGCCTATTTTTGGACCATGAGTTTTGCAGTTCTACTGAGTCAGGCAAAGCACTGATCATGCTGCCTGAGTCCCACACGCTGACCATTTCTTGCCAGAAAATGCCTGGTAACTAATCCCCGGCAATCGATAAACATCAGGTTGAGTTTCAACAGATGTTCATTCATATTTAAGCACAGCAACAAGGTATCTAGCCTCTGCCAAGCAACGCTGAAGTTTCTCATTCCTTTCCATTCTAGCAGGAGAAGAAAAGTCATCACAGTGGTTCACTGCCTCTAGTACTCATTGCCAGTACTGCTGCCACTAGGGGGTGCTCTCTCATGATTGTTGTTTTATTAATAGTTATTGGCAGTGTTGAGAATTTTAAGGTTGCTATTGGGCTTGATTTAAATTTAGTTTCATCTAATGTCTTTCCCAGCAGTATGTGTAGCCTTCATAAAATCCCAAAAATGTTCAAAGCGTGCTGCATTTTAACCTTTAATACCTCTGTCTCACTTGTCAAAACTATTGAATTCCGGTACTATCTGCGCAACACCGAACTGTTGTGTGGGGCAGCGTGCATCACAACCTCCGAAACTGTTTTATATTTTTGGATTTAGTGTAGAACCTTCATTCCCATAGATAAAAAAAGTGTTTCAGAGCATTTTCGTCAAGGGTGAACTGTCCCTTAAGCTTTTTATTAATTGATATTTTGGTTATTGATCTTACTAATTAATCATTTTTAAGGATTAATCCTAATCAGATTAAGGATGTGCATCTTGCAATTCCGGCACACTGATATTTAAAAAAAAACGGCACCTACTACTCTCTATTTTCAGGGAAATCACTGCCCATTTTACAGTCGTCAGTCCAGCCTTCACTCTCCTGCTGTGTCCCTTGTAATGCTACGCTCTTGTATAATGTCACATCCAAATCTCACATTCCGGGTGGGTATTGACCCTCCCTCATCCTGACATCATGCACACGCACATATCCTGTTATGAAAGACCACCTCATTTGGAGCTTGTGCTGTGCTGTCTGCTGGGAGAGCCAAGGGCTGCTGAGGGGAAGGTAACCATGCAGACGACGCAGACCCTGCTGTGGTTGTGATGGATAGGCGTTTGGTGCTCAGAGACACTGTGGTGGCACTGGATCGGGCAGAAGATGCCAGGGACAGCATCACTGTCTGCTTACTGACTTTGCTGAAGGAGAAGCCGGCATTTCTGAGCAGTATAGCAACTGTGAGGCAGGTAACTCCGGAACGTTCTGAACCTAAGCAGCCCTATTATTTATGTTTCGTTGTCAGGCACTGTGGAAAAGTGTAGTGAGTGAGATGAGTGTGTTTGTGAAAGCTTGTTTGCACTTTGTGTGTGGGATTGAGTGGAGTGCGCTTATCGAAGGGGACGCTGATAGCTTTGCTCAGATGAGCTGACAGCGTGTGTTTGCTGGACCCTCCCTCAGTCAGAGACAAGTGTGGGGGTGTTCTGCTGTGTACAGTGTACCCAGGACCTGAACTCTGTAAAATCAAAGTCAGCGGGGGGGTTGGGGGTGCTCTAAATTAAAGAATCTACTTCCCTTTGTTTTACTTCAAATGTGTTTAAATTATCATGAGCAAGTGTGGAATAAGCTGAGCAGTGCTGCCCCCCCGGGCCAGAGGATGAGGGTGGGGGGTGTCCCAAGGGTGTCGGAGACGCTGCACATTCCACTGAGTTTAACAGCGCTAACCACCCCCCCCACCTGGCGATTAGTGCACTATCTGCACAACCCCTGTTTACACAGATCTATACCCGGAGGCCCATTGCAGGAAGGTCATTCTTGTGAGTCCATGGGCTGTGACCCTGCAGGAAGGGGGTTTGCAGTGGGGTGGCTGGGGACTTGCCGCTTCACTGGAGAGCAGGGTGGGGCTGCGTAGTCACAGATGTATATATAGATCACTGTGTCTCTTCATGGGCTGCATTAGGTCAGTTCATCTGTGTGCGCTGATAGCATGATGCATGTCGTAGACTTAACCTAACCTAATATGTGATGTCTTCTTTAGCAAACCAACTTATGTAGCATAAATTACTGATATTTGTTTAGCTTGCACTCACACATTTCTGGTGAAGGTAACTTTAAGTTACTGAAGAACATGGCATTTTGGTGTTCTTGGGATGTAAGCCTGGAACGATTGTCTCTGCATGTCAGTTTTTAGGATAGAAAACTGCAGTGAAACATGGGAGCTGGATTTAGGGATATTTGCCCTGGCTGATCTTGCACCTCAGTGTTTCCCTGGTCCCGGAAATAGCACCTGAGTGAGACATGACTGATTAGATCCCAGGGAGTGAGAGGGAGACCGCGGGATAAATATTGAAGGCTGTTTCAGACATTGAGAGGCTGTGGATGTGAGGCAGAGATGTTGGAAACCAGTGTTATAAGGTTGTGGTATAATTAGAACTGAAATGTTCAGGTTCTGGCACAGTGCTTGCTGTGTTATAATATAATTAGAGCAGAAATGTTTGGGTTTTGGCACATTCTCTGCTATATTTTTCCTTTAATAGACTAGTCTGTCCCATGTGAATTGAGGACCCATTTGTTGCCTGCTGCAGAATGTGCATGTGGATAAACGGCCAGCCGCTCCAGTGATATTTCCATGTCCACAGGAACGCCAGCGTCTTGAGACTATCCTGAACCTGTGTGCTGAGTACAACAAGGGAGATCTGGGTGTAGCTGAGGCCGTGAAAGCAGGCTTTCCATTCGTTGGTCTGGGTGGGGCCTGCGGCAGGGGGCCTTGCGTGGATGTGGGGGACGGTGTGGAGCAAACGCAGCCAGAGAGCGATGAGGAGAACCTCAGGGAGGAGAGCAGCAGCACAGAAAGCACCCACCAAGAGGTGAAGCCCCCAGTAAGGATGCTGTGCAGTTAGGTGTCATGTGCATTACAGAGATGGATGGATGTTTCCATCTGACTCTCCTGCTACACACCCACCAGTGCGAGGACCCACTGGAATCTGGGTCCCCGGAGTTGGGAGACCTAGAAGAAGAACGGCTGCGAGTCCTGGCCCAAGTGGACAAGCTGAAGAACAGAGTTACGGAACTGGAGAAGCAGCTGCAGGAGTCCCAGGAGGAGGTAAGGAATCAAGGTCTACCCTCAACGCCCCTTGGTGGGGGGATGGGGGGAGACCGGTACTAGGAAGCCTTTACCCAATTATGCTGTGCTGGAATGAACAGGAAGTGGCAGAGGAAGGAAGAGAGACACTCCCTTATCATTCTCCCTCATAATGAAGTGACTTGAGGATTCTGATGGCTGATAAGCTCTATCTGTCATCAGGGTAAGTGTGTACTATGTGTTTGGGGCTCATACTAGGGTTCACTGTAGGACTGCTGCTCTTTTACCACCCCCAGGCAGATCTGGAGCAGGCGCTGCTGCAGAGGGAGCGGCAGGGGGAGCTAGAGCGGGCAGAAGCAGAGGCACAGGCCATCGCACAGCTGCAGCGCAGGCTGAGCGAGTTGGACGGCGCCATCCAGGGCGAGAAAGAGAAGGTACCATGCCGTTTACATAGCATGGATGCCAGGGCGCAGAAACGTTACGATCCAGGTGAATCCTGGGGGGTGGATGTTTTGTTTTGTCAGGGAAGGGCGAGTGTCGGATCAGATCGGCGGGCACTGGACAGTCTGCGTGGGGGCTTGGAGGAGCTGCAGAGTCAGCTGCACGGGTGCCCCGAGTCCCTGAGAGAGCAGTTGCAGGAGCGACTGAAGCGGGTGAGGGCACCCCCTGGTCTGTCGCTTTAACGGGACAGCCTAATCAAATTTCACCTGGGACAGCACTCATCCCCCCCCACCACCATTCCTATCAGGAGTCGGAGCTCCTGGACTTGGAGACCAAGCGTTTTGAGGACCTGGAATTCCAGCAGCTGGAGAAGGAGAGCAGCCTGGAGGACGAGCGGGAAACTCTGAGTCAAAAGCTGCTGCAGGAGCAGGCCGGGTACCAGAGCAGCTTGGCCCACAGAAAGGTGGGTTTCTGTGAGGCTGGCTGCTTCTTTGGGGTTAGGGCTCAACGTTAGAGCAGCCCAGCCGGATCAGACTCACACACCCCGCCACTGGTGCGAGTGTGAACTTTGGGCTTGAAGCACTTCCTGTTAGACATGAAGTCTGTGGTGTGCTGGTCTGCCTGGGACTGAGTCTCCCGTTTTGTTACATCCTGCCCAGGAGAAAGTGGCGGCACTGGAGAGCCGGGCCAGCAGCCTTGGACTGGAGGTGGCCCAGGAGTGTGAGAGGCTCAGCCGGGAGCGGGACCATACCCTCCAGCTACTGGACAAGGTACACCCAACCTCAGTCCGTGTTATAACCCTTTTTCCCCACATCCTGTTGACCACAGCCGTCACCTATATTATTGCTTATTAACACTTAAGATGTTTTGTAGGAGAAGGAGAGGCTCTCTAGCCTGGAGAAAAGGTGCCTGAGTCTCAACGGAGGGACAAATTTCTCTAAATGTTCCCCTACCAAGAATGAGGTGAGGTGATACTGCCCCCTTCTGGTAACACAGTATAGTGTTCATTTAAGTGAAAATGACAGACTATAATAAGTCTTCAGTCTTTGTCTCTTACATGTTTTTATTCCATTGAAGGTGTCTTGATTCCAGTTTACGTCAGGGTGTGAACTTAAGCAAGAACCCAGAAACTGCTGTATCACTTGCCGTCTTATTCAGAGGGCGTGGTTGTGAATCCGTGACACTCTTCCTGACCAGTAAAACTTTGAACAGGAAGTGCTTCATATCAGCGAGAGCGACCTGTCAGATGAATTCCACTCCCAGAATTCCCTATGTCAGCCTGCTGATGCAGTCATAGACCCTTCCTCTTCCTCATCCTCCTCTCTGAGCAGGCCTCGAGAGGTAATGTGTCACAGTGCCCAGTCTGGGAAAATGGAAGATTCTGTCACACACATTGCTGTGGTTACAATACAGGGCCAAAGGACACATTCATCCTTTATTGGTCCAAACTAATCATGTTATGATTCTGTAGTGGATCTAACAGGGATTTAGCTGATGCTGGAGCACAGGATTGGTGGTAGTGAGTGACTGATACAGTGGGTGCGAGAGAGAGAGATGGTGTGTGTGTGTGTGAGCACGTGTGTTTGTGTGACCATGACATGACAGTCTCTTTGTTCCATCTGGCATTCCATGTGGCGGCCTTAGGATCATGCAAGGATGCCAGATGTCTGTAGGACATACGGGGGTGATGGGCACGACTGCCACTCTGCCTGCCCACCTCAGCCCTGCTTTCCCCTTCCTCCCACTGAGGTACCTCAGCACGCCCCTTTCTTCTTCCTGCCTCTGAGGTACCTCAGCATGCCCCTTTCCTCCTCCTGCCTCCCAGGTACCTCAGCACGCCCCTTTCCTCTTCCTGCCTCTAAGGTACCTCAGCATGCCCCTTTCCTCCTCCTGCCTCCTAGGTACCTCAGCACGCCCCTTTCTTCCTCCTGTCTCTAAGGTACCTCAGCACGCCCCTTTCCTCTTCCTGCCTCTAAGGTACCTCAGCATGCCTCTTTCCTCCTCCTGCCTCTAAGGTACATCAGCACGCTCCTTTCCTTCTCCTGCCTCTAAGGTACCTCAGCATGCCCCTTTCCTCCTCCTGCCTCTAAGGTACCTCAGCACGCCCCTTTCCTTCTCCTGCCTCTAAGGTACCTCAGCATGCCCCTTTCCTCCTCCTGCCTCTAAGGTACCTCAGCACGCCCCTTTCCTCTTCCTGCCTCTAAGGTACCTCAGCATGCCTCTTTCCTCCTCCTGCCTCTAAGGTACATCAGCACGCTCCTTTCCTTCTCCTGCCTCTAAGGTACCTCAGCATGCCCCTTTCCTCCTCCTGCCTCTAAGGTACCTCAGCACGCCCCTTTCCTCTTCCTGCCTCTAAGGTACCTCAGCATGCCTCTTTCCTCCTCCTGCCTCTAAGGTACATCAGCACGCTCCTTTCCTTCTCCTGCCTCTAAGGTACCTCAGCATGCCCCTTTCCTCCTCCTGCCTCTAAGGTACCTCAGCACGCCCCTTTCCTCTTCCTGCCTCTAAGGTACCTCAGCATGCCTCTTTCCTCCTCCTGCCTCTAAGGTACATCAGCACGCTCCTTTCCTTCTCCTGCCTCTAAGGTACCTCAGCATGCCCCTTTCCTCCTCCTGCCTCTAAGGTAC